CCCTACACCAACTTTTTTTTTCTTTTCTCTTTAAAAAAAATTTTAGGGACTTCCCTGGTGGTCCAGTGGTTAAGACTCTGTGCTCCCAATGCAGAGTCCTGGGTTTGATCCCTGGTCGGGGAACTGAGATCCCACATGCCACACAGTGCAGCCTAAAAAATAAAAAAAAATTATACAATTTTGAAAGGTTACAACTTCTTTTAATTAAGCATACAATATGGTTGATTTTCAGTATATATTTATTAAAAATACAGATGTCCACCAAGATGTTAATAGTGACCATTATTTGGGTGGTGGCATTTTTATTTTTTAACTTTTTTCTCTGGATATAATTTTTTTCATGCTTTGAATTTTCTATTCCATGATATATATTAGGGTAAAATTCCAATTTTTAGAAGATATGGTACATGATGGAGACATTTAAGAGAAATAAATGCTTTGGTACAGTTTGGAACCAGGCAGCTGGTTCAAGATGAACCAGTCCATGCTCCAGTAACAAATCTCAGTGGCTTAGGAAAACAAAAGTATATTTGCTGTAGGTAGACAGGGGTTCTTCTACATCCAATATTGCACATCCAATCCTCCATCTCAAAGTAGTTTCCAAAGTTGCTGCAACCAGAAGAGGGAGAGATGGAAGAGACCAGCCAGCTCTCACCTGCCTCAGCACATGTCATTTGCCATGGCCAAAACAAGTGCCATGGCCCGAAGCTTACTGCAAAGTAAAGTGGAAAATGCAGGGGAGCACATATTGTGTACTGACTGAGCAGCAGTTGTCTCTGAACATGACTACAACTCGTTTCATTTTACAGTTACTGTAATGAATGTATGTTGGATCCAGACTGCGGTTTCTGCTATAAGATGAATAAATCAGCTGTCAGTGACTCCTCCTGTGTTCCAGTTAATAAAGCATCTACAAACGAGGCAGCCTGGGGCAGGTATGTAGCTCAGTATATACCATAAGAATATACAATAAAATTTCAGAATGAGTCTTATTTTTAAACTTACAGAATGACTGCACTTACAGTCAATGACTCTACTTCTTTTAAATTGGTCTTCTTTTAAAGAATCTTTGAAACTGATCTTTATAACTACATTACTTTGCAGCATATTCTGATGAGTGTGGGTAGACAACATTGCAACTGTATGTTTCACAAACTTAGAATAAAAACTCTAGCCTAGACTTCAGGAAATCCAAATTTCAGACCCAGCGTTGTCCTAATAAGCTACAGGACTTTGGATCTTGAGGCAGGTATTTCTAAATATTGCCAAGGCGGTTTCTCCTGCTGGGTATTTTTAAATTATACTAATAATTTCCAAACTCCCAAACTTAAGTGAAAGACAGAAAATTGTCAGGTCAAAATGAATTACTATCACTTTAAATTCTTTTATTCTTTTAGTACTTTCCTGGAAGTCAGAGAAATTAAACAGAATAAGGATAAAGTTGGTAATTATAGGCAAGTATGAGAAAGTATAAACGTTTCTCTTTTTGACAGATCACATTGGTTTATAGTAGGCACATAAAAGAAATATTAATATAGAACAAATATGAACTAATATTCATATTCATGGACACAGAAACATGTAAGTATTATTTGACATGGCTTTAACCTCTTTTATGTTTTAAATTCTCATAAAAAGAATAGTATCCTCTCATTCTGTCTCCTAATACTGATGAAGGCAATGAAATCTGTAATAAAGTGCTTGTATCTCCTAGGAGCCACGAAGTATAATATATCATTATTAATCATTATGCTGTTGTCATTAATCATTTTATTAGGGAATTACTCCAAAGAAGTAGAAATAACTTATATGGTAGTTGAGTGAAAATCCAGACCACATTTTAAATACGCTGATTAAAAAGAAATATGTAAAAGAAATGCATTTATTACTTAAAATGAAAACATGAAAGAGCTTCTTTTAAAAACACCCAGCACATACTTTTCATCAGTCAAGCTTTATTAGGAAGTTAATTGATTAAATATTTTTAGATGTAATAGTTTACAGCTTTAATCCTTATGATTTTTTTCAATAGAAAAAACCTGAAAGTTACCAGTCAAGAATTATGAACATTATGAAATCTGTGTATGTAGTTTCCTATATTTCATAGAATTAATTTACAATCTTAAGAGAAATGTCTACTGATGGTAAGGGGACGCTAAAATTAGATGTTTCTTCCTCAGTAGAAGGTCTAGAGGTCAGAGGTCTCAAAATAAGAGTCTTGTTCTTTTTGCAAATAACAAATTGTATAACTTTTTAATAGAAATGTGTATTACTTCTTTTATTTCAACTTATTCTTAGATTTTATTTATATTTTTGTACATTATTCCTTGGTTACACACACTACTAGAGAAAAGTGAAAACAGATAATACCCAAGTAGGAAAAATACAAAGAACTAAACAAAATATACAAAGAACTTTCATGTTTGTGGGCTATTCTTAGAATAACCTCAAATTCTTTACTGCCCGTCCCCCCCCGAAAAAAAAAAACAGGTTTTCTCACTCTTCTCTGTGCTGAGCAACAACCCTCCTCCTAGCTTGGCCACTGTGGTGGGTTGCCTCAATCTGTTCTAGAAAGAAAACAAAAAATGCAGGATGTGTTAACCATGAAAAATTCCTACAACAGAGTTTCCATTTGTAGGTAAAATAGCATTCACTATATTTTTGTTTATTAGTTGGTTGACAGGTTTTATGCAGTTACCTAGGATGGAATTTTCAGGGTAAAATCTACCATTACCTTGGATTCATATTTGAGATATACTATTTCTAGATGTTTTAGGGTCAAGTATTGAGGCAATTCATAGACAGAAACTGAGATCTCTAATCGTAGCTGTTTCCTGAGAAGACACCAGGTAAAATGATAATACCATTCATGATGGGGATAGTATGCTGATTTTGATGTACTCTGAATTATCTCAACATAATGAAAAGCATTTGTCCATATAATCAACTCTAATTAGTTGGAAACAAAACTTTAAGTCAATCAGCATGCTTTTCTATATCTATGTAGTTATATTTCAATCAACAGTTTTTTTTTAATCATTTAGTTCTCAAAAGAGATATACAATTGACAAAGCACATGAAAAACTGTTCAGCATCACTAATCATTAGGGAAATGCAAGTCAAAACTATAATGAGATGTTACCTCAGACCCCTTAGGATAAAAAACAACAACAAAACAACAATTGTTGTGAAGCATGTGGAAAAATTAGAAACTGTATGCACTGTGGATAGGAATGTAAAATGGTGCAACCAGTCTGGAAAACAGTATTTTAAGACAGAATTATATATCATTTAACAATTCCATTTCTGGGTATATGTCCAAAAGAATTGAAAGCAAGGTCTTAAATTTATATTTGAATACCCATGTTCATAGCAGCATTATTCACAATAGCTAAAAGATGGAAGCAACTTGAGTGTTATTTGATGGATGAATGGATAAACAAACTGTATATACAAACAATGATATATTATTCATATTTAAAGGAAAGAAATTCTGGCTACTACAACATGAATGAACCTTGAAGACGTGATGATAAGTGAAATGAACAAATACCGTATGACTCCACTAATATGAGGTACCTAGAGTAGTCAGGTTTATAGAGACAGGAAGAAGAATGGTGGTTGCCACAGACAGGGGTAAGAAGGAAATAGGGAGTTTGTTTAATGGGTATAGGGTTTCAGTTTTGGAAATGGAATGAGTTTTGGAGGTTGCTTGCACAGTAAGGTGAATATGCTCTAACACTACTGAACTGTACAATAAAAAATGATTAAAATTTAAAATGGTTAATTAAAATGTTAAATTTTATGTAATGTGTACTTTACAATTAAAACTTTTAAGAAGGAAAATCCGTGTTAAAATCATTTAACATACTTCTAGAAAATATAGTATGCTTAGCTGATAGAAAACCTCCTCCTGTCCATCATCCTCAGTACCTCCTACATGCATCCCACACACAGGCAAATACAGGTTTAATTCACAGCTGAACTTGAGAGAAATGCCCATGTGCCACCAATGAGAATGAGAGCAGTGAGCCCATGTGGAAACCCAGCAGCCCATGGGAATATCAGAACAGAAGCCAGCCTAAAGGGTGAGAGGCTAGTGTTTTAGGTGCTGAGAAGACAAAGGTACAGCTATGGAGCTGGAGCTATGATGGGCTACCTAAGGTCTGAAACAGAGACAAGAAAAACTGTTGGCCTGGGCTAGGCAAGCTGCTAAATTCTCTGTGGCCCACTTGGGACCTTGAATAGAAATAGTGTCACACATGAGAAAGCAAAACCAGGAGCATTTACTGTGGGGAAATATGGCTTATAATTTCACACTGCCTTTGTGAAGGGGGAACCATAGGAGAAACATGAAGAGTGAAAAAGTGGGTCCCAAACTGGAGGCATCTATAGAGCTAACTCAGAAAGAAACATGCAGTTGTCAGAATCCAGGACACATGAGACTTCCATGGAAAGCAAATATGAGATAGTCAGAAATTTAAAACTACATCAATTTATGAAGGAAAGGAAGCCACCACGTATGACAGATGGAAGAATGAATACCTAAAGAACCTTGTATTACCAAAAAAAAAAAAAAAAATTTAAGAGACTTTAATATGTTTAAAAGAAAAAAAGGAAATAGTATAATTTTTTCGATTATACTGAAAGCTGCACAGTTACAATTTGTGCAGTATATGGGTATGTATGTGTGTGTGTGTATATATATACACTATATATACACATATAACAAATGTTATACTTAAGTAAATTTTGTAAAAAAAAAAAAAAACTTGGAAAGCTAAACTTCTAGGTAAATAACATAGAATGTGGTATGGGAACTTGGGGGGAAAAAAAAGCCTCTATCTTCTTTGGTTTGTTTTCAGAAGGAAATGGAGATTATAATTAGTTTGCAACTTGTTAAATATAGGTGTTAAAAATATAAGTATAATCTCTTAAAGATATATACTAGTACAGAGAGAAAAACGAGAATGAATCAAACTAATAAAGACAGGAAAAGGGGGAAATTACAGGAAAAAAACATGGTTAAGAGGAACCACCAAAAAAAAAACCCAGCAAAATTAGTTACATGTAAATGTACCTGTTATTAAAGTGAAAATAACTCAATTAAACATACCTATTAAAGACAAAGTTCCTCGCACTAGATTTTTTTAATGCAGTTATGTGCTGTTTACAAGAGACGGTCATTGAAAGGTTGGAAATAAAGGAGTGGAAAAAATTAGATAAGTGCTCAATCAAGAAGACAAAAAATAGCAGAGGTTAGAGAATTTGGAAAACTTAATAACAAGCTTGATGTAAGAGTTAAATAATGAACCTATAACACATAGAGAACTTCATTCTTTTCAAGCAAATTATAGAAATAAAGGAGTGGAAAAAATTAGATAAGTGCTCAATCAAGAAGACAAAAAATAGCAAGGTTAGAGAATTTGGAAAACTTAATAACAAGCTTGATGTAAGAGTTAAATAATGAACCTAACACATAAAGAACTTCATTCTTTTCAAGCAAACATAAAACACTTATGAAGATTTACCATATTCAAGCACGAAGAATAACTTTATATAAATGTAAATTCCAATAAATTCTAAGTAAATCCAGATAATCAGTATTGTGCAAAATGTCTTTTCAGTGATAACACTGCAAAGCAATAGAAAGATATTTATCACATCTTTTACTTTAGTCTGTAAACTTAAAAAAAAAATCTTTAAATTAATTAATGGGTTAAGCAGGAATCATAATGGAAACCAGGACACTGAAATTAGTAACTGACAAGATCCACAAGAAGTGAGAGCTAGAATACAAAATTAGTCTGTAGAGTAAGCAGAGGATGGAAATTAAAAGACAAGAGGAAAAAATAATGCAAAGCAAAGAAATACTAGAGAAGATCCAAACACAAAAGTTGGTTCTTAGAGAAGACAAATTTAATGGAGAAAACTC